CCTGCTCAAACAGACAAACAAAATTACATCATATTAGCCCTATAAACATCATACATACACATATACTAGCTAGAGTACTTGTGTCTCTAGATTGAATGTATACTCATCTCCAAAATAGCTGACTGCAGGTGGTAATTCTGAATTTGAATTCTTACAACATGAGATGAATTAGTGATTACAATTCTTGCTTCCAACATCTACAACCTGAAAAGAAATATATATCATTATCATGACATAACTCAACAGTTGAGAGAAACATGGAATGGGCAGAAGGTCTTCTTTAGCACAATACACCCGGTGAAGCTCTTCTTTAGCACCAGCATCACTTGTCCCCATAAACTGCCACTTGCTTCTTCTTGAACGTGATTGAGCAGCTTGCTCAACTGCAACTTCCATTTGCTTAATTTTCCCATGTAATCACCACATTGCTAAATCCCCTACACAACAAACCAAACAAAACAAAAATCAACATCAAATATTAATTAGAAAAAACAAAAACAAAAAAAGTCGAAAATACCCTTTAGGTTAACAAGAGAGGTTGTCATTCCAAAAATAGATGGAGAAGAAGAGAACAGTTTGCGTACCTGATTTAGGGAATAAAAGAATCTTTAAAAAAGGAATGTAAGAGAAAGAAATCTAGGGAACATACATTAAGAAGAAGATAACAACTTTCGAACCTGATGCCTCCTCCGTTTTTTTTTTCTGCATTCGGATGCTTCCGATCGTACCTTGAACCTCTGACTTTCGATCCCAAATCCAACTTGCAACCTTCAATTTCTGATCTTCAACCTGTAATTCGAGTCATAGTTCCGAATCTCATAAAATTAACCTTGCTACCTCCTATTTCTGATGAAAGAGGAGTCTCAAATCTGAGAGAAAAATGAGGAGTCGCTGGCTCAAATTAGAAACCCTAAAAGATGGATGACATAGGGAAAATCAGAAAGGTATGAACATACCATTCGATAACCAGAAAATGGACTGAGAGGAGGGGGCTGTTAGGGCTAGAAACTAGCTTCCAATCTCCTTTATCAACATCATATCGATAAAGATCGCCAAAAACATATGTCTGTGTAATATATCAACCTTTTTCAAAGTAAATTCAAGCATAATTTTAGAGAAGGTCACATGAATTCATCTATAAGACATAATGTCCAATTGTTGATATCTTCCATCCCTAAAGTCACCAGCATGGAGTCTTTTTTTCTTTGGAACCATCGTTGTTGCCTCATAACTTCGGAGATGGCGTGCCTACTGTTGCCTTGATCGACGTTGACGACCGGGAATGGTACCTAACGATGGTCGAAGTGCGAGGGAAGAAGAAGGTGGCAGTCAATGTCGAGAGGGGGAAGGAAGGAGCCGATAATTAGGGCAAGAAGGAAAAAAGAAAATTGGAAGGCGGGGTTTTTAATTTTTTAGGATTTCATTTCCCCCTAATTATTAAAGGATGGAACGCGCCTTGTATTAAAATTTATAAAGCGACACTCTTAGACGACACGCGTTTTATTATAAGTGCCCTCCGTGTTTTTTTTGTTATTATTTAGACACTAATTTAAAGGCACGTAGTAATGCGCGACATAAATCCTTCAATTTTTTGAAGAGATGACAATTTTTTAATGTCACTCCCTTTTGCGTAACATAAATCAATGAGTGTCGTGGTTTGCGCATCGTAAAAGGGTATTTTTCTTGTAGTGGTGATTCCATTTGAGGCATTCACACTATTGGTGCTTGGCCCTCAAACTCCTCAAGAACCAAACTCATCAAAAAGGTATGTAATCTCTTCTAACTCTTTATGTTGAAATGTTCCCCATGCCATGTTAGATAGGTTATAAACCTTGGAAAAATTATTATTTTGCATGTATTTAGACAAACATAGATCCAAGGTTTATTAGGGTTGCATGCACACTTAAGAAGTGTTAGATTGCTCAAAACTCAACAGTGGTATCAGAGCCTAGGCTTGCTTGTTTGATACTTGATGCAAAATAGTTGAAAAATTCGAAAAACTTGTTGTCTGACTGATGAACTCGCCGAGTCCATGAGGGGACTCTCCGAGTCCATGTGTATCTTCAACCTACTCGCCGAGTAGGTTCATGCACTCGACGAGTAGGAGTGACAGAGTGCAGATTTTCGACTTTAGCTGCTGGAAATGGACTAGAAACATTACCCTAAACTGTTTTGGTGTTTTAAAACTTGTTTTAGTTGGTGTAATGGTTGTTCTAATCCATTTACAATAGCATATACCAAAATTCCATGATTTTATGTGTTCATATAATTCTTGAAATTTTGATGATCATGTTCATGTTCTTATGAATTTAGAAGATGATAGGAATTATTTGCTGAATTGTTTAGAATTAATTCTTGATCATTTATGTGTTTTAATGGAGTCCATAATTTGTCCTCAATTTATGGATATCTAAAGGTCACTTTCTTTAACACACACATTTAAACACATAAGTTACATGAAAATTAAGAGTATTCATTTTTATGAACCTTTAATTCATAAGTTATGAAATGAAAAGTTTTGGATAGTTACAAAACTTGCCCTCAAGTTTTGGAATTTGGAAAAGTTTCACACACTTTAATAAACTTTAATTCCAACACTTAGAATTTTAAAAGTTAAAATTCAACACCTATATTATTTATAACATTAATGGTTAATTATTATATATATGTATAAGAATAAGTCGTTTTACCGTTAGTAGGCCTCATTCACGAAGCCGGTCTATAAGGTGGGTATAAGGTTGTTGCCTATAAAATGGCGACTTAATGGGTGTCCACTCTCACCCACCGCTTGCTTGATCGGTGGAGGGTCGTTAGCCGAACGGGTAGGACAATGACTTTAAATTCTCATTAAAAGTATAATGATTATTATAAAGTAACTAAATATTTTTATTTAAATCCCAATCTTAGTTAATTTAGGAAAAATGTGAATTTGGTGCTAGCCATGGAATTCACACTTTGTACCTTACCAAGTCGTTGGTGGAGCGTGTGTGGTTAACCGGCACACTAACTTGGACTAGTAAGGATCACGAAGGGTGACTTAATGTTTGTCATAGATCAATGGAGCGTGTGTGGTTAACCGGCACATTGATTAGGTGATAATATTAAGGGTACCAAGTGAATTGGTATGGTTATTCACACCTTGTTTTGTGATCCTCGGCATCCCAGTCACAAAATTTGAGAGGGCACACTCGAGATTGAAACATGCCATTGAAAAGTTCAATGAATCTCAAAAGATCTAGGAATTTCAAATCCAATTAAAACCTAATAAATTATTTCGTTTTTCATGGTGGAAATTGGTGAATCGTCATTCGCCTACCTTCAAATATTTTATAGCTTGGATTACGGCATCCCTCTTCCAAATTATAAAATATTGTGTTGGGTCCTAGCCTTAATATTTCATATTGGGTGTTATATTAAGGATTTTGAATCAACTAACTTGATTTTCTCCCATTATAGATGTCTGGTTCAGACAACTATGATCTTCCCAAATCTCTTGAAGATGGTGTCCCTCAACATCATGCTTCACTTCCTCCACCTCCTCCAATTATTCTCCCTCACCCACAAGTTCTTGAAAAGTTTAAAGTCACTCAATCCCTATTGGCAAGCATAGTCTATGTGTGCTCACATCTTGGAGATAAAGTCACATATTGACAAGCCGGGAGAGTTGGGTGTCAAAGTCTCGTGAAAGTTGGATGTTCAATCACTTTCTTAGTAACATAGTGAGTCTCTTTGGGACTACTATGAGACAGACTATGACATGACCCTTAATGATGTTATCTATTTGCTTGGTGTTGTGGAATCAGCAATGATTTGGAACACCAATAAAGCAAATTTTGATCAACTTCCCAAACCTTAAATGGACATTGGCAATGGTAGCATTGGATATCTAGAAAAGCATTTCTCTTCCCAATGGAAAGGGATCGGCCATAGTCAACTCGGTTGACCAAATGGTAAAGAGAAAGGCTAAGTCTGAGATAGTCTCATGTGCCATTACCAAAGGGTCTATATGTTTTATTGCCAAAGGGAGGGACACTGATTGCGAAGCTGCCATATTTACCTGAAAGATCATAAGATTGATCAAGTCAAAAAGTTTGACTCTACTTCAGTTAAAGTCCACTGACTAACTCTATTAAGTTCCTATTTGGAGATTCTTATTACATAATGTGAATGGGTCACATGTTGATGTTTTTAAGAATCAAAGAAAAGATAGGAAGCTTAAAGTAAGTATATGTTGATTCTGATTGCGAAGGTGGGTTTCGATCGCATGGTTCGGTAATCAGAATTTTGAGTTGTTGCTTAAGAGTTATAATATATTGCTTATGAATAGATAACAACAAGGTTTTCATGTGGATTGTAAGGATAAGTTTTTCCGCAAAGTTT